AGAAGTTCATAATGTTTACTGAACCCAATCAAATACCTGAGTATCATCTTGAGTGGAGGCAATTAGAACCTCACCTAAATTCTTTACATAAAAAGGCAGTTCTCTTTTTAAATTACAACTTTTTAAAAATGAGGCAAGGTTATTATGGTGTGTTGTGCTAGGTCAATTGATACAAGCCAAGAAAATAGACAAAAATTTACTAGACTCTGTACTACTGAGTAAACTGTATTTCATTTGTCTTGTTGTAACCAAAGTTATTTTTCAAATGTATGGAAGAAGCAAAGAACAGTCAATACTGAGGTAAAACCCTCCTCTGAATTCCATCTCTATCTGGCATGAACCATTAACTGGATTCATGAACTATCATTCAATTTGAACATCTCCCTTGTTTACTGGACATGCATGGATAGATAGTAAGAATGTTTAAGACAAAACCATTAAATATTTAATAGCCAAATTATAAAGACACATTTCAGCCTACAGACAGAGACTGCTTACACACCACTGCCTGCAACAACTCAGTCAGTATTTGGGGTGGTTCTGCAAAGCAGATCCCTGGGTACACTGAGGTAAGGGTGGCTTGTTCCTCATCTGGAAAGTCCCATTAGCAGCAGATTTTCATAAAGTGATTAGGTGAGCTGGTTCAAGATGAAATCTTCCTGTGTGTTTCCTAGCCTGCATGCCTAGGAAAGCCCTGAGAAGGAAATGACTGCCTTAAGGATTTCAACCCATCATTCACATGGATTGAATAAATTTCAACCACTTCTCATGCAGTGAACAGGAACATCAAGAGAGAGAATGGGCTTCGAAAGAAAGCACTTAAAGACCTACTTGAGTGTAATTTAGCAGCCAAGGCTTTGTCTGAGATTGTAACCGAATGGAGCATCGTGATAAGAGATGCCAGGATTGTTAAGAATCAAAAGCACAAGCTTGTGGGTAGGAAGATCCTGAAAGACAGGAGCAGGAGCAGGGGCAGTGCTGCCTGACTGCTGTCGAGTGGCTTTGAAACCTGTGTTGTCAGAGCTGCTTATCACACACAGATATCTGTATATTCACTCAGCCTGACAAACTCCCAGATGCAGGATCACCCACAGCTGCATGGGAACCATGACAATGTGAGTTGTAATCTCGGGCTTTTCATTCTCTACTCAACACTGCCAGCTTCAGCCTGGAACTTTATTTTAGGAAATTGGAGAGGCCTCGAGAAGTCTGGGATAAGGTCTACAGTTACACCATCAAATTGCCCTTGTGGATTGCACAGTAGAGATTTGGCAGTTCACACCAGTAGATTGGAGCTATCCTGTAGGGTCATTCCCGTGCATCCCTGTCAAATGTGCCAAATGGGGATCCCCTTGCAGGTATGGTTTTCCTTCCATGCTTTTCCCATGTGTAAATCCATAGCAATCAAACATGTAGGTGCTGAAATTGTTGATTAAGGTCCTGAATGCAGAACCATCCATACTGGATTTTTTTTTTTCTGGAAACTAATTTAGCAGGCAAAAATGATGCCTGAAAAATAGAAAGCTTGAAGCTTTCTACAAGTTTATTCTATGTGTCACAAATAATAACCACAGAATCACTTAAAAGTTTTGTTTCCTGCAAGGAGCAAGATCTAAACTCTGAGCTTTCTATGCTAAATGGAAGAAAGTATTTGGGAGATGAATATGCCCTTTCCCACTACCATATAAGTTGAACAGCTTGTCAGTTGGAATGTCTTAACATGGTCAGGCTTCTAAAGTAGAAGCTCACTGATAAGTCTTGCATCTTTATCAGGACTGCCATTATACTTTGTATTTTCCTTAAAGACCTGTTCTCTGGTGTCACAAAATCATGCCAAAACCTCACTTTCCATCTACAATGCACATTTAGTCCTTGGCATTGTAAAGAACTGGAAAGATTTAGTTGAATGAAGTTCAGATATAAACAAAGTGTAAATTTTAACAAAAAATTTGTTTTAAAGTCAGTGTCATAATTTTGGGGCAGGAAGTGATTTATGGCTTTTAGTGGTTCAGATTTGCAATTTATAGAACAAAAGAAATCATTACAACTGTCAGAAAAGTGCATCATGAGAATAGGTGAGTGCTGAACCTCAAGCAAAGATTTTCACTGCTGGACGTGCCCGCTTCAAACAAGTGTTCCTTAGCCAAAATGGAAGGGTATAGATTAAAGCTAGGGGGAGGGGGAGAACTACTAAAATTCATAAAAATCAATTTTTATTGGAAAATTGCACCTGAAGGAGGTAGTTTAACAAATTTACCAACAAATTTAGCAGGAATTAGTCACCACTGGCTATGTGAACATACAAGTCAGTTGAACTGCTGTGCCACCTTGAAGCACAAAGCCAGAGATCTGCCTGCGGTATTTAAGTTAGGAATATTTCTGGGACTTTCACAAGCTACTGCCTTCTCAGCAGGATGTGATTGATGAGAATGAGACAGGTAGCAATTGTCATTCTATTGCAAAAATTCCTTATCTGTAAGTTTATGAGCAAAACTGGAATTTGATGAATGTCAGGTCATGACACAAAAGCATTTCTTTCTTATCATTCTGGCTTTTAGAAACATACTCTCTAGCAACAGACAATTTGATTTGTGTGTTCTGTTCTTGATTTGGTCAACTCATTCTGATGGCCAGAAATTTTATGAAAAACATGTTTCCCCACACTCTTTTGATTTCTGTGTGTTATGGTAACCAGTGGCAGTAAATAACAAAAATGTTCAAGCACTTTCTGAACCAGATTGTAGCTGGACAAGAGCCAATATAAAAGGGAGAGGAAGTTTTGCCATGACAATATAGCAACAGATAACACAAAAGGTGTCCTTGAAACAAAACAGGTTCAACAGCAGCTTTGAAGCACAGACCTCTGAGCACTCTGCATGTGAAGAGGAGCAGAATAAAGAAGGTACAAGAAGGCCAAAGCCATTGCTGAGCTAAAAGTTCCTTCAGGAAGCTGCATGTCTTTTTTGCCTCAGAAAGTGAAGGTTCAGTCTTCAGTAGTGCAGTGATGCACTGTATTTCTCACACAGTCGGAGTTTGGAGAGGCCATGCTGAAGTTCCTGGCCAAGCGAGGATTCCCTTCTGGACAGCAGCCACTGTGTCACTCCTGCTCAGGGAAGATGGTCCCATTCCATCCCACATGCCTTGCGTGCTCCTCAGCCATATTTCAGGAAGGACGACACTGCTTGAACCTCGAACAACGCCGATACTTTCACACCTGCCTAGCAGTACTGTAACACTGCCATGAATCACATAGCTATTTTTGGACAAAGTGATATTTCAGAGACAGTGAAACAGGGATTAAGAGGTGTCTCTGTGCTCTACATCAACATTGCTCCAAAACTGATCTGGGGAGCAGACCTTGACTGTCTGGTCATTGGTGTTATCTGCAATGTTCTGTCATTCCAACTGATGCAGCCAAAGGAGGTCTGGGAGGACAGCAAGCCTGTTCTGTGGCCAAAAGGAAACACACAAAGGAGTAGTCAGGCCCTGGTTATTGCAGTAAAATGGGAGCTGTGGTGGGAGAAGGCTCCTCACGGTGTCAGCTGAAGGGCACAGCTCTGCCAGATTAGCAGATCTGTGCCAACTGTACCATAGCTCAAGGTGAGCCCTGCATTCTGCTGCAAACTTAGAAAGATGGAAATGAAGACTTTTCTGCCAAGTGATGATCCATTATCAAAAAGCACTGTGATGGCAAGTCCTAGAGATAAGGCTTGTTATCTGAATCTGAGAGGCGCCTAAGAATGCCAGGTATGAGCAGAGAGTTACTCCTGAACCTTTTTTTAATTAAGGGGATAATAATTTGATCTGGAATTAATGTTTGGCAGCAAGCTGGCTTGGGAAGCACTTTGGAATTCACACCTTCAAGTGTTTGCTGCTTTTTTGGCGTGCAGCATGTATTTGGTGTGTGAAGAAATACAGAGCATTTTGACCTTGAGGCAATTAATCTCTTCTGAGCACGTGGGTTTTGAACAGACATAGACATAATAAGAGTTTTTAAATTACAGAAAATGTGCTCAATCTTTCCATCGGTATATAGATGGAAGAAAATGTGGGAAGGATCTCTGGGGGAGAGAAAAGCGCTCTTACTTTCTAAAAAAAAATCGCACCTTCCATGTTTGAGAAGAGGGGGATGCTTTGAATCTCAGCTCTTCTCAGTTTGCTGCAAACTGATGCTAAGAGACTGGACATGAGCAAGGAGAGTTCTGCTGATAGTGTTTTGTCCTTGAATCATATATACAGATATAGCAAAAGGCAGCTCAGGTGTCAACTATAGTGTCATTTTAGGGAAGGATTTGGAGTTACATTTTCACCTTTTCCAGAGATATTTTGTATGTACTCCATTTACCAAAGGGAAATTTTAAATAAAATTTTAAATAAACTATAATGCAATTATGTTGTTTGATTTATCAGCACTGAATTCAGACTTACTCTGCGTGGAGACTGTGTTTTATACCACACACATGAGAGGCTTGCTGTGATTTCAAATGTAAGCTGAAAAGAAAACAAATGCAAAGATTAAAAAGAGGACATTGCAGATAAATAAATACTAACTGAAATCAATACACATAGATTAATTTGCCCCAAATCAAGATCCAGACCATGCTCTGAAGAGCCATAAATGGGAAAATAAATAGACATCAACCTTTTTTTTCCCAAAACTACCTTTCTGAGAGTAATCACAGTACCTAAATGCTCTTAATTTAAGCATTCACTGGAGGATGTTACAGGTAAGTGCTCATAATACACAGTAGGTGTTTCCCTGGGGGCCATGATAGTTTGCATAATGTGCTAGCTATTTCTTTTCCAGTGCTGTGATGGCAGAAACCTGTTACAGTAAGGCTAACTCTAATGTGAATTTTCATAAATGTCTTTTGCTAACAAGATCTATTGATTAAGTTCCAAGTTTCACAGGTTAAAATAATACAAAACTGCCAGTATAGTTGCTGCTCCTTCAATTTCTTTTTTACAATTAACTTTTTTATGTTCTAATCTATTTATAGATGGAGAAGTGGAGAGCCCCACAGCTGGAGCAGATGTGGCTGTTATTGGAGGTGAGTAGCAGACCATACTAAGCAGCGCCATGAGAACTAAACCAGCAGGTTCGTTGATTTCTTGCATTTTGCAAAACCCCTGCTTCGCTGACAAGACAACAGGAGTGGCACAATTAGAGTTAATTAGGCCAGTGGGAAATCTGCTCCCAGAGGGGCTATTGGCAAGATAACAAGATGAGATAATGAGCACAAATCATGCACTGAGCAGTACCACCCTCATCCATTCCCCATTTTAGGACAAAATACCAAGCAGTCCAGCAGAAAAGTCAGTCTCTGATTTCCCTCAGTATTCACTGGATCAAGCTTGTCCTTTAGCACAGAACTGGTGCAGCACCTTTGATTTGAGCGATGTTAGCTCATACCAGCTGACCCTTTACTGTTGCAGAATTCACCACACTCTATTTCCTGGTGTTCCATTAAAGCTCTCTCATGCATTTAAACTAAATACAGTTGTCAGAATAAATGAGCAGAGCTACGTTCACGGAGTGAACCTGTCTTTTTATTTTTATTGTGTTTGTTCATTTCCATGCTAACACACTAATTTCAGTCATTCACAAGGGGCTATACCAATCATTAGTGCAAATTGGTGAGGTTCTGCTATATTTCCCTCAGGTCCCATCTCCTGTAACTTTAATTTCAGCTTTCTATGAACAAGAAGCAGGTAAATTGATTTGTACTTAGTCCCCTAGGCTTATTAATATTGTGCTACATCTAAAGCCTATTAGAGCCTCTTGTGTCAAGGGATACCACTGAGGTCCTAAAAATTGATGAAGCCCACGCTGCAACCATGATATTATTTTCAACTCGAAGTTCTTTGTATAAGTGATTTCATTTCTGCTAGCAGTAACTTTACCCTCCAGAACCAAGCACCATGAAATCTGGGGGATAATGTTAAGGCATTATATATATTATATCTTTAAAGACAGAGTTATAATCTTTATTTGCCCTGCTAATATTCTGTCTATTCCTATGGTTTTATGCCAGTAGGGTATCAACACTCAGTTTACTGGTGCTGATAAACCTAAAGCTTTGGAGATACCCACTCTTGCCACTTATCTTGAATATAAGATGCAGAAAAATGGTACCCCACCTTCCTGTCGTTGTCTCTGCAGAAAATAGGCATTTCCAGGGAGCAATTCTTCTTACAAAACATAAAATTCACTTCTAGAAGAAATGACCCCACACACACACTGACAGCAGGGGAAGCCCTAGGAATGTTCTGTTCAAGTTCTTTTTACTGTGTATTTCTTTAATATTTGGCTTATCCCTGGATTCATATGAATATAGAATCAGCTCAGTATCATGTACTCATACAGAATCACAGCAAAAATGTTTATAAGCACATTCTGGATCCATGAAAAAAATAATGTTTAAAAAATTAGAAAAGACACACAAGTTTAATAAACTTCAAAATACTTAATTTTTTTCAGAATTTTTAAGTCCATAATTTGATCTGGGAGGAAGGGGATAGAGTTTGTAGGTCTTTTAAGAATGGACTTGTCATGAACTTGTCTCTTTTAAGGGACTTCTACCTTTCACAGTGGAAAAGGATCATTAATTTACTTTTTTTCACTAGGATTGTTTCCATTCAACATTTAGTCCTACACACATTTAGGTCATCTATAGAAATTTTTCTCCAGTCAACACATAGTTGGAAATTAGTTCAAGAGACAAGAAAGATCTACCTAGAACTCTTTCTTCTGCCAGGTGGCACTTTCACATTCATTACAATCAAACTTTCTTAATTAGAGCACAGAATGAAATGGCAGCTTGCAAATACAGAGCAGTTCCACAGCTCTTGCTATTTGTTTAATGTTCCCTATGAAATGCTCAGTGTCCTGATCATTTCCTGAAATTGAGAACACTTGAGAAGGCAGTGTTGGGTTGTCTGCAGCACCCCCCCACCCCGGGTGTATGTTACCAGAAGGATGAAAAAACCCCATTGTTTTCCCTTTATGTTCTTTGATTTCTCCTCATTTTGAAATGAACTTTTAGCTCCAATATGTTCAATCAAATCAAGCCATTGGTTTAAAATAAAGCTAGTGAGAATTTTTGTGGTATTCCTGTAGTATCTATATCCCACCTTGGTTTTTGTAGCATGTTCTGACTCTGCAACAAGCAAACCCCTTACGACACATGGGCTTTTCCCTACCCAGCAACTCAGGTCATGATGTCTGGCTGCGAGACACTTCTCATATTTTACCACTGGTGATAGATTTAAGTGGTTTCTTTGCCCTAGGTGTGATTGCTGCCGTGGTGTTCGTCCTCATCTGCCTGCTGGTGGTGATGGTGCGCTACTTGTACAGGCACAAAGGCACCTACCACACCAACGAGGCCAAGGGAACCGAGTTCGCCGAGAGCGCCGACGCCGCTCTGAAGAACGACCCCGCTCTCCAGGAGGCAGTGGATGAGAGCAAGAAGGAATATTTCATCTGAGAGGCAAGGATTTCCATGGAGACTTCCCTGGGGGAATCAATCAGAAATGTAACGTCAATAGAAGTACTAAGAGGTGGATAATACGAGGATACAGGCGAGCATCCTAATTGAAAAGTATCTCTCTACTTTTTTTTTTGTCACTGGGTTGTTTCTTTTCCTCTAGCAGTGAAGAACTAAATGCCAGATACTTGCCTGTTGATTTTATTAGCAACACAGCTGGTCACAGTTGAAATCAATATCAGATAAGAAGAAACAAAATCTCAGTATGAGTGATACACCAAAACCAAATAAAAATAGCAAATGTCAAGCCTTGACATTTGGTGAAAATAGCAGATGCCAAATGAAAACATCCTCTTAGAGTTAATGATGCATCCTATTCTGATATGATGAAGAACTACCTGAAATTGAATTTCAAATGGTAACAGAACAAACATTAAACTAGATAATGGTGATCTAGCTTGAAAAAAATAAATCTATAGCCCAGATAGCCCCTCCCATCCCCTTAAATGTGCATTTTTATTGGCACAGGGGAGTTTATGTTGGTTTTTGGGAGGATTTACACTGGGATTTCTTTTTTTAATATTTGAATTTTATACATATATAAAAATCAAAGACACTTCAAAGAAATAAAACCTTGGAAAACGTGGTAAAGGTAAGAGTGAAGGATTTATTACTGACTTTCTCTGCATGGCAGCTTGAGAACTGCGAGATGTTGGAATTTACACTATAGTATACAATAGTCAGTAGATGTACAAATATGATTCCAATTAGTCTGTAGGTTTTCTGCACACATGCATAAATAGATAGATATTAAAAGGTAAAGCATCCTGGTTTGAGCAGGCCCTTTGAAACAATGGAGCTCAGCTATATTTTTTCCATGTAAGATATTTTTGCCTGAATATTTATTTATTTATTTATTTTGCATTAGAAAATTCTCTGAGTGCCCACCAGCAGGATTGTAGATTTTTGCAGGGAGAGGAATGCAGTTCTGGGGCAGATATGAGTACATCTTTCACAAATGCAACTTTATGACTGTCACTATAAAGAAGTTTGTTCATCTGCCTCCCACTGGCTTTATTTCTCACTCTGTGGCTTCTGTGTATCCTTTGCAGTGTGCTAGACCAGAGAATTGCACTGACACCAGTGCTTTATTATAAATAAATAAATAAATAAATAGATTATTCATGGTGGGTCCCATGAAAAGATCTTATTGCTCACCTAAGAATCAATGGTGATGCGTTTATTTACCCCAGTAAGTTGGCTTCCTAATTGAAGCCCACAATTACCTCCAGAAATAGGATAATTGTTCTCTGCACCTGCTCATCCACAGCTGTCGTGGTGCCCTGGACTACTGAAAATAGAGGTGGAGAAATGCAAGATAACAAACAAGATACTGATGAGCTCTGCTCAAGCTGATATATTTTTTCCTATGCTTTGATCTATATATGTGTGTACATTATATATAAAGTCATCTACAGCTGTGCTTTCAAGACACTGTTGCTGATCACTTGTGCTCATTCTTGGCACCAGAGCTCTGGAAAGATTCTGGACTGTGGTGTTCATTACTGACATTGCCCTCAAAAATGCTGTAAGAGATCTGAGCAAGGTAAGACTCTGAGGACCAAACTGAAGAAACAAGATATTTTTGTCTTTCAATCACAGTCTCAGTTTTTGGTCAGTACTTGAAGAAGATGGACTCTGAATTATTTTTAGAAATCCCAATACCTTTAATTTTGAATGTTTAATCCACATGTTAGCATTTTAACCAAAGAATGTGAAACTTGTGCCAAATTTATTAAATGCTTAAGATACTTTCTGTAACATACCATTGCAGAACCACATTGTATTCTGTGGCTAGTGCAGTATAAAATGCAGAAAACACAGAGCTGAAATATTTTATATTATGTACCTGTCTCCTTCTTAGACCCTTAATATTTTAATAATTTTAAAATTTTAATAATTTTTAAATCGTTTTACTTCTGAAATAGGAACTATTTTATTTCTCTAGGACAAATGTTAGAAAAAAATCACTGATCTTAACTGTAAGACTGAGTTTCTAAAACTGAAGACCTCTGATCCTCCAGTTCAATAAAATGTAAATATTTCCTTTGGGAAAACCATAACTGGGGTGACTTGAGCTCTGCTGCATCTCCCACAAAAAGTGTGGGATCACCAAAGAATTTTCCTCCAGCCCGAGAAGGACCTGTAGAGGACGACCAGCCTTTTGTCCCCTTTCATACATTCAGAACATGTAACATTATCATAACTGTTAAAGAAAATTGACTTTACATAAAGGTATGATGGACATAAGGAATAAATTCCTGCCTCTCTCCTCAGTCATGAAATTCTGGCTTTTGCAAGTTGAGTTTGCAGATTTTAATTAGACACGTGTAGTACCTGTTGCACATGGGAACCTGACTTGGTGTTTCTTTTGGTGTGGGTGTGAGCTTTTAAATTATGATTTAGACAAAATGCCACACTGGAATTGTAGAAGCCAGATTTTCTGTTGGTATAGCATGAGCTCAGTGGAGCTCAGGCAATTCTTACCAGTTCAGTCAACTTCAGACTTGGTGTCATTGCTTCCCTTAAATCTCAACTGAATGCAGCTTCTGGTCTCTGACTATATCCCTCCTTTGTAGCTTAGTTAACAATCTTTATCCCATTTTCCCTATTTATCTAGGCTGACAAACAGTCCAAGCATTCAGGAACATATTCCCTGTTGGTAACAAGCCACTTTGAATAGCTGTGCAGCAGCACTTCTGTCATGAGCTGTGGTTTTAGTGAATTTATTTCTTTACTGTGTCCTTCTGGGTTTCAGGGCCTTGTGTATTTAGAAATTACTCAAGCACACTCAACAGAGAGAAGAAATAGTTTGTGGAGATTTTCTGTTTCTTTGTTTTCTGCAGGAAAAACTTAGCTTTGTAATGAAGAAACCTCATGATATCAGGCGACTGGCACATTCTAATGGCCTCATCCTGCTGTTTTTTACTCATATAATAACTCTACTGTCTTGAGTCATTCAATTTAGTTGTAAAAAGAGTGCATTACAAACTTCCTATAACTTTAACAACTAATTAGCAAAACATCCCTCTGCAAGCAGCATGCTGTGCTAAAACAAACGTTGTGTACAGCGCTGACACATCTCAGTTGGCAGCCGTAGCTTTTCATCACTGATGGTTAAATGATTTTTACAGTTTGCTTCCTGAATAGAATAATTAATGAAACAGATTCTCCTTCCGCCACATGTGGGGTCTCTCTAATGCTGTGGCCTGTTGTCCTGCAGCTCTTTGGTGTCTCATTTTCTCAGCTGTGGCTGCTGTTCTTGCTTGCGCTCCCTCAGCTCCCATCTGGATCTCTACTGCCTTCTCTATGGCAAAGGATTAGCTATTTACTTATGTAGTTATTTACCTGTTTTTATCTATGAAGTTGCTCTGCCCCTCTGTGCTACCCAATAAAAATTTTCAGAAAGGTTTTAGGTTTGGATTGCCAATTCTACATCAAATTTGAGCAAACATGACTAATCTGACCTGAGACAGATTTACAGAGTGATCACAGATGCCACATTTTGACAGACAACAGGTCTAAAAATAGCATTGTAAGTTCTGTAGTTGTTAAATATAGTGCTATTAATCTGCAGTGATCATCTCCAATGTTTCTCCCCAAACAAGGCATCATTATGATGATCCCTCAAGCCAGTTGATTTTGTCCTCATGCCTTAATGCCCTGTGAAAACTTGTTGAATCCCACTTTGCATGGGAAGTCACAGGTCCACATTTGCAAGTATAAGTAAATCATTTTTCAATGATGTATGGGAAAGCAGTGCACCAAAATGACCAATATTTGCTGAAGTTGGCAGGCAGAAAATAAATATGATCCTGTAGGAACACATGATATTTTTTTTAAGATACATGGAAATTACAAAAATTAAACATAGTATTTCTGGTGACATTAGTGAGCTTTAAGAGCGGGTTCATGAAGCTTTCAAATTCTTTCACTGATAAAAATAATCCCTTGCAAAGGGAAATTTATCTCCTTTAAACCATTACTTTTTGTCAGTGTTTGAAAAAAGTTTTCACAGATTCAATATTCTGACATTCCATCTCAACATCTTGAGCTCAATTTCTTCAATGACTTTATGAGCATAACTGACAGTCCCCCCCTGCACAAACATAAATGCTTGCCCATCTCAGCCTCTGAAGCATCATTACAGCTCAGCAGAGTAATTCTGTCCAAAAGAATTCAGTCCCAGTTGTGTGTCTGGCCAGCCAGACCATGGACCTGATGTGCATTTTTCTGGGGCTTGGCCTCTGCTGTTCCAGGTTTTCCCCAGTTCCCATATGCCACTGCACATTAATACAGACCTGAGGAGAATTTAGTCAGACGCTTGTCAAGGAAACAAGACATACAGAGATATACAGATGTGTAATTTTTTTTCTTTTTAGAATACCATGACCAAATCACTTTGGGTTACTATTAAAAATAGGACTATGGGATTTCTCAGAACATCAAGTTTTCTCTTAAATCAAGTCTGGGGATCACGGGGGTACACCAGTACATGGAAATAAAAATGACTATTTTCTTTCAACAAGGAATGCAGACTAAGTGCTGAAACATTTATAGTCCCAGGATAAGCAGAAAACGACTGCACTACTTAAAGCCTGCACAAATTCCTTACAGAACAGAGGAAACAATGAGACAAGATGCTGAGGAAATCAGTAAAGAGGTGCAGAGCAAGAGAAGGTAATCTGATGTCAATAGGGATGGAGAGAAGTTTTCTTCAAATAAAATAGATATTGCTGTTTGGATAAATCAGTGTATTTGCTGACTGTAACTGCTTACAACAAATTTCTTTGAATTTTATGAGATGCTTTCTTTGAATTAAATGAGATGTTTGGATTCCTTGTGTGTGCAAATCCAATCAAAAATGATGGTACATACACACCAACAGGACACTCACATTAAATGTATTATAAGCTGTTTATTGCATTTTCTAAAATCTCTCGTTCTTCTCATAAGAAAGCTTTGTATGTTTAGAAAGTGCAGAAGCCTCACAGCAGCAGGTCATTCAGGA